CCCCATGGCCACCTTTAAAGGTTGGCATGATTTCAGAAATTTCCTCCGCCAGTCATTCCTTTCCCCCAACCGATTAAAATTACGAACAAACTCAACTGAACTCACGTAAGGTTTACTTAATGCGCGTAGAAAGAGATGTATCGTGAAGAAAAAATCCAGCAAAGCCATCGCAAACAGTAGCAAGACAGCCACCGGCAGTTTATCCCGGCACATGATAATTGCGTAAAGTGAAAAAATTTCAGTATTAATTATGAAAGAGAGCACCAAACCAGTGATTGGATTCCGCTTAACGTAATTTAGCAAGTTTTTCATAACCTGAGCAACCCTGTATTGTTCCAAGTTTGCTCTACTCCAGCAAAATGTGTTCAACCTTGACTGCCTGTAAATGTGTATACAAATTCAAATTCATCCCTGAAAAAAATGCAATAAGTCGAAAATATCTTCATATTAAAACAAATACCTTTCAATCTGATTTAGCCATAATTTTATAACGATTGACGGATAGACTGTGGCTAAGGAGATCGAAGTCACAAGAATGGATGCAAGGACGTACCATGCATGAGCAAGGATTAGTCCGTTAACGAGTCGACCTGGCGAAGACAAACTTTGGTCCATCCAGCCGTTTGGACAAGAATAGAACAAAACGCTTCCAACAGATGGAGGACTGCACGGGACAAAGAAACCGCTAGCAAACATGAAGACGGGTGCGCCAAGGATTGATTGTTTGGTAATATGTAGGCAAAGTAAAATCAGAAGATCCACGTAATTTGTGGCACCTGAAAATTCATGCAGATAGATAAATATCATGTTGGCGAAATTTAGGATGGCATACATATGTATCTACAGATCAACTAAGTTGCATTGGGTCAGAAGTTGTCAATGCCAGACGATGATCTTTGAATATGTTGTGGGGCTAACAGTCATATTGTCCAATACATCCAAAGGGCATCAAAATCTGGAGTTGACAACCTGCGACCATCTCCTAAGTAGAATTTATTAAAAATTTATTTTTGGCACCTCATTTTATAGGTTAATAAAAATTCCGTCCTACATATAACTAAAACCTGTCGCTGGGCCTAAACATCGGCGTCACAGAATTACATATTCGCCGAGTCGGTACAACTGTTCGCGAAGTTTGAAAACTCTACGTGCACGGGATCATATCGCAATTACAAGCAAAGTTGCCAACAAGCCGTTGGTAGGATATGGAAAAGCCCTAGGCTTGTTGGCAACTCTAATTACAAGTAGTACACACGTAAAGGTGCGATTTAATATTTTGCGTACTGTAGATCTCCAATACGCAAAACATTAGATTTATACTGATGTAACAATTTACGTCAACAAGATCATACATAAGTTTCCATTACCCATTGCAAGACATCTTTTTTCCATCCTGAACGAATTTTCGAACAATATTTTTAGGTCGTTTTTCCGACAGTACCATGAAATTTGATATACACCCACAATGTTGATCGATGTGAAGAAGCATATTAGGACTAGATTCTCCCAAACGGGGTGAGATTGTCCAAAGAAATTTTTATGAAACCAAAAATTGAAGGTAAAAACGTAAAATAGATAGGAAGAGAAGGACAAATAGAAAATTATTATCTGACGCAAGTTTGTAATTAGGGTGAATTCGCCATCGGTTTGTCCCGGTCGGATTGGAATACAGCAAGAATTAAGGCACCACTTGGCAACTGAGGCCATTACTGGAACGTAGGATTTGTCGATGTCCGGAGGTTTGAAACTTTCAAGAAGCTTCACCATTTTCGAAGATTTAAAACGTGGAAACGATATGGAAATTGATATTGACTAGAAATGCAACCTTTCATGTAATATGCCGCTTTTGCCGTATGCCGTGCTTTATATACATGTGCACGTGGGTAGACGTCTCATTTTGCAAAGGACAGACGTGACGTATGTATGTTAAATTTGGCGGTGTTTTAGGCGTGAATGTAGTTTAAAATTCATGGCAAATATAATTACGAAATCTAACACCTTTTCTGCTATAATTTAACTAAGGGGTGTTCCGAGTCCGAGTGTTCCGAATGTTCCGAGTGTTCCGAGTCCTCAGATATTTAAAAATGGGTCAATCTGCATAGTTCCAACCGCGATGTAGTTGAATTCGAATAAAAATCAAGAAGTAAAAAATTTAGGGACGTACATTTTCGAGTTCAGTCGTTTCGAGAATAGCCTAACATCAGGGTTCGGAAAAACCCGGGGTTTTACTCTGAAAACAACTACCCCGGGGTTTTACTGGGTTTTACTGGGTTTTGGGGTTTTACTGGGTTTTACTGGGTTTTACTCAATGTTTGGGGTGAAATAATAAAACTTACAATGTTACGTCAATTTGTTAAATTAATGAATGTTATCAAGATTTATCAAAAAACTTCAATTCATAATGACAGGAACACAAGAAAAATACGAATTTGATCAAATTCCAAGTTAAGCTACAAATTATGATTTTTAGATCAGAAACAAAAATTCGAAATAAATAGAAAAATGTACGGAATATTAATCAGAGTGCTTAATTCGAGGTATATAGGCACCTGCAAACTGATTCTATAGATTTATCTATTTGAATTTCCGATAAAACTTAGTAAAACCCGAGTAAAACCCAGTAAAACCCAAGTAAAACCCCTTTAACATAGTAAAACCCGCTGGGTTTTATTAATTTACTACCCAGTAAAACCCAGTAAAACCCCAAAACCCCAACCCAGTAAAACCCGGGGTCGGAATACCCTGCCTAACATCTTATTATAAATACGCAAATATTCTGTTCTGACTGAAACTTGAAAATATATACAAAGTTTCCACGTTAAATTGTAGAAACAAAAGGGAATTGCACCCTGAAAGGGAGGAATTTTTGTGTAGTAATTCATACGCTTGATAATAAACTTATGCAAAATATTTAAACTCCAACCATTAGTTACTTTGCAGGAATATTTTTCTAATTGTGCCATTTATTCACGAGCATTCCATATGTGCGTATCTAGGTGTACTTAATTAAGGACTAATTGCATTAAAGTCAAGTTATGTAAAGTGTATATAAAGAAATATTATTTGCAAGTCCAAAAGCGGATTGCGGTAGGTTGAATAAATTAATTTAATTTGGTGAAATCGTCCCGTATAAGTTTATTCGTTGCAAAATTTACTATAGTGTCTTCTGACGTGTCGTTCGTTCTCTTTAATTAAATACCAATTTGCAAAATGCAGTCTAACTAATTCGTTTGTCGATTGCTCGTATTTCGATTTTACGATATTTTTGTCTCCCAGGGAGTAAACAAGGTAGTTATTCTTACGGATGGTTAAAATACGGTACATATAATATTAAGCCGTGCTGTAGTATAAATAGACACATAAAAGCTACAAAATTGAAAATGCATAGTTACGTTGACCCAAACTTTAAATATAGTAGTTACAAACCGTTGAATGCAATTCTCGTGATTTCGCTAATTATTGTAAAAGCAGTGGAAAGGCTAATTAATAATTAGCCTTTCCCTTGCTGTATAGTAATTAGCATAATTAGTAATTATGTAATTATACGCCGTTGGTCCGTCGTCATTTGCGAAGTAGTTTTAAATGACTTAAGTATCTTTTATTAATTTTATAAATGTAGACAGAAATATGCACGCATTGAAAAGAGCGTACAGTTCATTTTGAACAAATTAATAACCTTCGTTTCGGATACCGTATGCATAAATCTCCGTATTTTATAGAATTTATTTTCCCATCGTTTTTTGTATGTTTTTTATGCAGGCTTTTTAATGGGAATATTTACTAATCAAGTAATTTATTTACCTATGTATAAATAAATAGATTGCACGTCCAACTTTAGTTTTATATCAAAGCTTGCAAACTTTAGATGATTAGAAAATTTACTAACCAGTCGTTTGCCCTGTAGAAATTTAGGATTGATTTTCCTGAATGCTCAGGAAGTCAAAAAATGTAGTTTGGTTTACGGATATTTTTTTTCCGGAATGACTTACTACTGACCCGTTCGCTATACTCTTCAGAATTGATGGCCAGAAATAGTCTCATAATAAAAAAAATAATACTCACTCTAAATACTCACTCTACCATAGTTGATAGTGAGTAATATCGTGTATGTAGCATGTAATATCTCGGTATTAAAGTTTAACAATATCGGATACACATTTTTACGAATTTCTATTTTGTATAATTATATACCAAACTTTCATACTAAAAAATTATTTGCGTAACTATACCAGATTTCTGACAGTGCAGAGGGTGTTCATATGTTTGTGTTGCTACTCAATCAATTTTTGTTAACTGCAAAAATACGTATGCGGAAAAAAGTTGCTTCATTCTTCGCAGAGTATTTTTTATTGTAGATTAATAATAAATCAAAATCATTAATATTTACTTCACCACATCCAATCAAGCTTGAATAATAATTAGCCGTATTTGCCGGGGAGGCATTTTTGAAAGTAGAGAGTTGAATTTTTGCACACAACTATCTGAGGATAACATGCTCCTCTGTTCAAAATTTTGACCCGCTACGACAAACCGTTGCGGGGTTATTCAACGACAAATTCGTCACCACGTTAACAATCAACCTTTGGTACTATGAAGTAAATATGATCTTTCGTAGTCCAGAATTCTCAGAAACAATAAAACAGATCAATATTTAACAAGTAAATATGTATGTATGCATAAGCGACTGAAGACTTATTAAATAATTAAATAATAACAAGCGTCACATTTCATTGCCCTATTTTCCTGGAAAGCTTTACAAGTTGCAAAACACGTCTTCTGCAAATACGATAAATTAAACCAGGTATGTAATAAATTCTGACTATCTAAAAGAGAAGTGCCGCGTGCGCGCATCGTCGGTTTATTGCATTAATGGATTTCTGGAAACCGCAAACAATTGGATCCGTATGGCGTTTGTGTATTTCACAATAATTTAATTTTGCGTTCAAGCAGGATTAAATGATACAATGAGTAATTTTCATATTTATCCTTAATTATGGATTAGCCAAGTTATATATAAGCCGGCAGGACAATTTTATTAATATTATTCTCTTCCAATAATTGAAGCGCAAAGACGCTGCTGACAGAATGAATTTTTTTGTTTCGTACATAGCGGTTGTAATGCTCCTGTGGCAGGGCGTGGCCGGTTCTCCAGGTAAGTTGCGAATATTAGAGACCTGGGGGAAAATCTGTACTTCCATTGTGGACTGTAGAATTAGTACTAGAGAAATACTCTTCATCTGCAGTCTACCATATTTATATTCTACAATTGAAGTACAGATTTTTTCCAAGTCTCTGTTATGAAAAATTACAGCTTTTACATAAAGTTTCTAAAAATATTCCCACAGAAACCGTGCTGAGCCCAGATTTCCAGGTCCACATAATTGGAGCCGATGACAGTGGAAATCCCACTATTCGAAAATGGGTGTCTGAGGAGGCTGACCCGAACAGGGTAATACAGATAATGCATAAAAAATTAAGTTTCTTCCGAAAAAGTTGCAATTTTTGACATAATTTTCGTCCAGAATTTGAGGGACGCTGCGATAACCAACGGACCAAAATTAGACTACCCCAATTACCAAATACATTCCCGTAAGAATTAACTTATAAATTCTCGCTAAATAGTAATAAAATTTACATTTGTACATAACAATTAGTGATTGCCGATCGTAACTTCTCGTCTGGAACTTCGTCAATCATGGCCACTGGTCCTGCAATTATAGAAATTGTGATCGTCGTCGACAAAGAATTTGGCGATCTATTTTCCCACAACTATCAACGAATCGTGGATTATCTTACGGTCTACTTTTGGGATGTCAATATCCGCTATAAGACGCTCCCAAGCCTCGATATATCTTTCCGTGTTAACGGCCTGCTAATTATGGAGGTATGTAAATTTGCATAAATAATTGGTCTAATTTTTACTTTATCATAATTATAATAATTTCCACCCTAGTCGCCACAAGCTCAACCGTTCATCGAGAACGCGCGTGCGTCCGACGGTCGGGCAGAATTTGGTCGAATTCTAGATCTTTACAAGAATTGGGTATACGAGCAGCGCAGTTGGTTGGTGCGACACGACTTGGCGCCGCTAATAACGGCGACGCGATTGGAATGGGGTGGTGGTCTGGCTTATGGAGGTGGCACCTGTGGAGTAGACGACGGAAGAAGGATTGACTGGGGGACGTGCGTATTTAATGATGGCGGTGACTGGGGCAGTATTACCGTAGGGGCGCATGAGATGGCGCATACGTAAGACAAATTCAAACTTCGTACTACTTTAGAAATCTCATTTTACCCCGTTTTCTGTGAAACGACCGACGTAAATATGTGTATTTACATGTTTTTTTCTGATAGTGTTGGAGCACCACACGATGACGATCCCAACGCGAATTGTCCTCCACCCTATGGCTTCATTATGAGCGGAGGAAACGACAATTACCGATATTTCTTTTCGGACTGTAGTAACCGGCATATATCCAATTTTGTTAAGTGAGTTATTACAATTTTTCACATGAAATTTTCTCATAATACCCCACTCTATTTTTCACCTAGTTCCGACTCTGCCGCTTGTCTGAGAAGAATTGATGGTGGCTCGACCACCCCAATGGATCCTAACTTCTCCTCCCCCAAGGCCCCCACTATGTCGGACCTTTGCAAGAAAAGTCTCAATAACCCCAACGCTTGGATTGACGACGCTGACACGTACGATTGTAAACAAATGAGGTGCAAACGTCGTGACGACTCAAATCCTAACCTTATCTGGACGCATTTCTTGGGCGTTTTGGAAAACTCGATTTGTGGCCAAGGTTCTGGTCGATGCTTCCGAGGAAGGTGCCGATTGAATGGAAAACTTATCCGAAATCAGGGTGATGGAACTTGTATCTCGACACCGGATCTTTTTGGGCACACGGTTCCCGCCGTGATGTCCAATTGCCCCGCTTCGAAGGATATAACGCCGCTTAATTCTCTAGAAATTCGGGATGGTCCGGGTGACAAGAGATTGGCGACACCTTTCACGGAGTCGGGAAATACGGAAAATGGGGACCGATGTTTGTATGCGGGTAACGGGGAAGGTGGGACTGTATGGACGGATCGATGCAGTAATGATAACCCGTGGCATGGGTGGGAATTTAGAAGTGTGGGAGGAGATAATTTCCTTCTCGTGCATAAAGTTACTGGGCTATGTGCAATTCCGGCGGGTGGTGTGGGTTCCATAATTCAAGTGTTTCCTTGTAATTCGGGAAATACGAGAATGATTTGGAGGTTGACGTGGTAAAGGTTGGAACGAAGTGTAGAATGATACTAAAAGCTTTTGAAACTGAAATTGTTAATAAAGTATAGTAATTACAGCATTAATTTTTAATGAAATGTCTTCAGGCAACATGCATATGAACATATGTATATATTTTGGCACCAGCATATTGTTTCCAAATGCAACAATGTCAATTAAACCTGAACGAATTTCTGCCTGATGGATGGAACTTTATTAAGCACGAATTTGCTATTTTAATCTCGATGTAGATAATTGTGTGCAGGCACAAATACCCATCTGTCCTGTCCAGCCCATTGCTATCAAAGCGTATAAAAAGTTCTTCCACATAAATCGTACATAAAAGCCACAAATATTTAGGAGTTACTAGTCTCCAAAAATTTTCAGCACCATGTTGCAGTTCCTTGTCCTTGCATAATATGTACATATTTACATATACTCGCTCTGTACCATCCAGTCTGCTTAATTTATTGATTCCATATGAGTCCGAGAGACCTTGAAAAACGAATACCTACATAAAAAATCCCAATCAACCAGTCAATATGTACATACATAAATACATATGTACATACATACATATCATATATATCCATAAAGGCAGTCCAACATGTACATACATAGATATACCAAAATTAACGATATTCCCTACTAAATATTTGATTACCTCTTTCTCTTTTTATAACCAATCTCGACGACAAAACTAATTAAACTGATTGTCAATAAGAATAAAAACATCGAATTAAAAATTCAAGAGACGATTCGTTCGTATTGATCGAGCCCAAAATAAAAATCCGGGCATTCTTCCATTAGAATCGGACGTCCTATTCTTCAAAAATGTTTGAGTTGACAGTACACACAATATTTCTTCTACATTTCTTACATAATCAAAATGCAGAAAAATAATCAAATTGAACACGTGTTCACAACATATGCAAAATGCATGCAACACGTGACCCACCCCCCGATTGAGTGGGACATCAAAAAATCCATGTTCATATTCCATTCAAAATCAAAAACTACTTTATTCTGGTATTTTCACTTATTTCTCTTATTTCTCACCATGACAGGCACCTTGATCCTGTTTCTGTCCGAAATCTTCGGATCAACCCCTGCCCCACAGACGTCCTTGCTGATCATGCACATCACAATCTCGTCCCTGTTTCTGCTACCATTGGCAACAGTTATTGCAGTTGTACTATATGGTGCGCAGTACACGGCGGGAATTAATTCACTCTACACAGAATTAACAAAACTGCACGGAACTGCTGGTTCGTAACACGCGCCAAAAATTTGAATTCTTTAAATCTTGTATGCACTGTTAGAAATTTGGTTTAGTCACGCAGGCATTGATTTCTCGGTATTAAAGTTGCCACCGGTTGGTATTAAAATTGTACCGGTCCGGTACCGGTCTACCAATATGGTAAAGCTTTAATACGGAGTAGTCACTACACCGTATCACTTATCAATACCACCAGAGTCATATGTACATGAATACCGCTTGGTACTATTTTAATACTGGATTTCTAAGAGTTTACAACTTATGACTAAATAGGTGCCCACAAATCTCTCGCATTGGAGGAAGCCGATCTTTACTACAAGATGGCGTCACCTCTAATCGTCCTGACCCCTCTATACCTTCCACCCTTAATTCTTGCCGATCTATACTTACAGATATCCCCCCTCTTTTACATTATCGACACTGCAAATTTTTCTCGCAATACGCACATATTTAGTAAACTGATCGCATCATACGTGACCAGTACAATATGGCTGGAAGGATTCAGACTTGCAATCCTTGGCACGACCGCAGGGCTCGTGATGTGCAAAATGCTGACTAAAATGTTCATAATTCTGCTCGCTAAGAAAAATCGGGGCAATCTGTACCACCTAATTTTACAGTATAGACGCATTTTCATAATTTTCGAATACATGAAACCAATGGTGTCATTTGTGGCGGCGAGTTTTTTATTTGCCGGATTATGTATTATTGTCGGTTTTTGGTTCACGGCGATAAGATTGTACAATAGTTTTCCGCTCTGGATTTATATGATGTTTCCGAGCGGAGTATTGATCCAAACCGCCGTGGCAAATATGGTCCTCGTCGTCACAATTGAGGTGCATGAGGGGTCGGATGCTTTGATAAGAAAGTGGGCCACGTGGATAAGCTCGTTCCCATCGGTGAAGGAGAGGAAGCTAATGAAAAGAATGGTAAGGTCGGTGAAATTGGTTGAGTTAAGTGGTAGAATAAATGATTTGAGATTGTTTGATTTTAGTAAAGGGATTAAGATTACGTATTATGATATTTTGTCCACGTATACGATTAATTTATTGTTAGGAGTACCTTACTAAAGATTAATCGTTGAATATGTATTAAAAACTAATTAGGGTAAAATAAACGAAATCCTGAATGAGCGAAAAGGACAAAAAATCAATCAACAAATCTGGATTTAAAACCAGTTTGAAACTAAATAAGTACTTAACTCATATTTATTGACGCTTGAATGACAGATACCAAAAATGAAACACATTCACTTGAACACATATTTATAAAAAATGCATACTAAACCGGTCGAAATTCTACTTTAAAAATGATGATCATATATTGAAGCATGACATTGTATTCGAAGTAGTTAGAAATATTAAGCATGTAACTGTATCTGTTCTACATAAATACTTAAAAATTTTGATAACAGGTTTAGACTCAAGTTTTTATATCAGTAAAATACTGATGCAAAACGACATACAAAAGTGTGCCATAAAATTAATGACACCACTTCAATCATTTGTCTCAATCATAATCATGAAGATTCAAGTAATTTTCAGTCTTATTGCAAGTCTTCCATTCTGTGCGAATTTACTGCTTCCTTTTGCAATCAGTTTCAACCCAAACGACATAAAATTCTATTTAGTAAAAAGTACAAGGTAAATTAAGCAATAAAAGCAATAAAATTATGTTTGCAAGTCTAACAAAATCTCATTTTTGCAGTTATAAAGAAGAAATTAATTACTCGGATGAATTATCGTTACGTAACAGTTACATTCACTCGGAGCGCATCTATCCGGTCGGATAGGAACCGAAATTCAAGAAATTATGGGGGGCAGAAAGTTACCACGAATTACAGGTAATGTATAAATTTTGCTGAAATAAGTATGTATGCACATTTTTGCGAGATTGTTTCCTAAAATTTGCGTTCAGAAATTAGCAGGGTCATCATAATGTTTGACCCACTCATCTCTAATTTCCACTGTGCAATTAAAACTACAAATTTGGCTTGTTTCTATGCAAATTAAGTATCTACTTTACAAATAATTCCTTTCCATGTTCAGGACTCGATCCGGCTGGACCTCTATTTGATTTCAACCCAGAATGGAACATTGACAAGAGTGATGCATACTTTGTCGATATTTATCACTCAAACGCCGGCCTCGCCGGTGATACCACGTTGAATGGGCATGTCGACTTTATGTGTTAGCTAAAAAAATTATTATTTTTCAGGAAATAATTTATTTATCACATATTTATTTATTTATTTCAGTAAATGGCGGACATGAACAACCTGGTTGTAACATCATAACGGACGTGTTGGCTTGTAGTCATACTTTGGGTCTATTTTTCTTTCCCGCTACTTTTCAAAAGGCATACATCGGATGTCAATGCTCTAGTCGTGAGTTGGACCCGACCAATTTTCAGTTGTGTCTGGCACAGTGTCCGAATCCGGTTTTTGCAGGAATATACACACCTCACACGTATGTGAACAAGATATGATAATGTTTGTTGAAATTGAGTATGTTCTTTAGCATAATGTACTAATTGTGTGTATTTAATACACGAATTTAGGACACGTGGCGAGTACCAAGTGGACTTCCCTATAAATAATTAACCGACGATGTGCAGCATATTGTACGTTGTACGTATGCGTTTGTTTATAATGGTCGTAAACAGAATAGATGAATTTTACTTTATTTGGGTGAAGATGACTGAATGAATCATGAATTGCTTTATGCTGCAATATTTAAATGAATACAACACAATTTTGACCCTTGTATAAATACCTACATATATGCATTTTTTGGTCAATCAGGCATTAGAACATGAAAACCTTAGGCATAATCATATCAAACAGTCGAAGGGTTGCTTTGTTTTTTAACCAACTTTTGCAACTTTTGAGACCGTATTAGGTGGCCTAGGCAAACTGGTAGTGAAATGAAGCGCTGTAGCCCTAATTTTTTTTTTACAGATTTCTTGTTAATTTTAATTGAAAGCCAATTAATTTCTAATTAGAAAATAATTTTTATATAAAATTTCGAAAATAAGTTTTCGAAATTTCCTCCCCTACATTAATGCAATGCTGAAGAAGTAGCCTCCAATCTTCGATCAAAGTGCGCACTGAATCCGTGGACAAATTGTTTCATTTCGTGGTCAAAATTTTCTTTAACGCTTCCACACTTATGTATATAAGACATATATATAACACACCTTTGTCCCTAACTTTCACCATATTTCATAATCCTGGGATTCGAGTCCACCAAGGAGAATGGTCGATCCGAAGTGGAGGTGAAGTCCGGAATTTGTATTTTAGCCACGCTTGGATAATTTTTTTGCACTATGATGCGGTAACTATAGGTAGTTACATAAATATGGCTAAAAAATAAGTTAAGATTCTTATTTTTTGAAAATATCTATCAACATCATGTTTATATATTATCTATCTATATATTGCGCATAAATGTTTTAAGATGTATGTATATCCAACTGAATAATTTTGATATTTATAATTTTTTACCTATCAAAAATTGCCACATGATTTGTAAGTATCTAGTTTATTAAAAATAGCTACTAATAATGCATTTATTTATTTCACACATCTAACTTGCATGCTGTGACAAAAATTGCATATTTATAAATTCTCAAATTTTTTAAGACCCCACCCCCAGGTCCTTCAACGTTAAAAAAATTACCTCTCTGAAGATGAATCTTTTTTTCTAAAAGCTATTCGTGTTTTGTGCCCCCATTGTATTTCTTATGGATAACTTTTGAGACGGTGCATAAAGCATGTGATCAATTTGAGGGGGCAAACGTCAGGGCAGTCTGTCCTTCCACGCTAATAATTGTCAGGGATGGGCAATCCCAACACTTTCGATGGATTACGGATTACAGATTAATTAATTTAAAAATTACCATGGGATTACTGGATTGGGATTACTTCGTTCCTGAAGTAATGTGGATTACTTGTTGGATTACTGGGATAAATTAACGATGTGGATTACGGATTACAGTAATCAGATTACGGATTATTATCTGGATTACAAAAATCTATATTTATGTATTAAGGGGTGAAGAGAAGCAAAATCCATTTACGCAAAAGTGTTGTCCGTTGGTCTGTATCCACGATAACTTTAGTACGGTTTCGAATTTCAACATGCGGTTTTCGCCAACGGGTTTCTAATTCTAGAGGTACGGATGACTTCGAAAATGGGAAATGTAGGTCATAAGGTCACGGCGCCACGGTGATGACGCCAGTGGTGAAACGTCGGTTTAGACGTAGTTTCGGGCGAGGATTGTTTTGATGTGGCATGACTGCATGACCGTGTCGACGACGCCAAGGTCGAAAATGTCGAATTTTTTTCTTGATAGTTTTAGATATAGTTTTGGGCGGGGATTTCAAAAATAAAATCTAGACATGGTTTTGGCATGCCATGACCGCGTGACCGTTTCACTCTACTCCTTTGCTACATTTAATTTGCAACGGTTTATTCTGAATAGCGTCACACTTATACTTCATGATGATGATTAGTTCAAAAAACAAGAGTTTTGAATAAACCGTAGTAACGTTAGAAGTAGCTCACCCTGTAATATACCTGGCACCTTTGCACCTTGGCTGCAAAATTATAGTAGTTCAACAAAATAGATCAATAATTTTTAAGCAATTATGCACCAGTGGTGCATAAAAACGAAGCATAAAATAGATCAATAATTTTTAAGCAGTTATGCACCAGTGGTGCAGAAAAACGAGGCATAAAATAGATCAATAATTATTATGCAATTATGCATCAATGGTGCAGAAAAACGAGGAAGATGACAAAGTATTTTGCACCACTGTTGGAGATTAACCGTGGTGGGTCAAATAAAATTTCAAAAAATTTGTGTCAAAATTATATAATAAATTCTCCCGGCTATTCTGTACCATTGGTGCGTTTTGCATCAATTAACCCAATTGTTTCGCATCATTTTGTGTTACCGATTGTTAGATACCAACGGTGCTATTAATTTATGAAAAAATGGACCTGATCCATTCTAGTGAGTATCAATTGATGCTCATCCAATTGTTTCGCATCAGCTTGGATAACCAACTGTTCAATACGAACGGTGCTACCTATTCCAAAATTGTAGTCCTTTCTCGATCCATTTGCACAATTAATTCGCACCATTTGCGCCACGGATTGTTCGATACCAATGGTGCGCCTAATTTATTCTATAATGGTCAAGGGGATTATTAATTAGCATCAATTGATGCAAAAAACTCGTGAACACACAGACAGACGGACGGACGGACAAGAGGAATTCAATAGCTCTCGTGCTACGCAGGGTGAGCTAATAATTCATCCGACAATTGGTTTCTTAGGGCAGAAAAAAATGTGTTGTAGTAAATAAACCCCTCTTAATTGTTTCAAAATTCTCTAAACTTTGCACCTCTGCTGAAGAATCCAGAAGATAGTTTAAGCACTCAAGTTCAGCAAGTGACTTAGACTCTAGAGAAGTTGCAAGATGGAGATGTCATGCCGTTCACAGGAGCAAAGTAATCCAACAAGGTAATCCGTAATCTGATTACGTTTTCCAATCTCGTAAATTGGGGATTACGGATTACATATAATTTCCAGACCTAGTTGGGATTACGGACTACGGATTACTTTAAAATGTGAATTTTGCGTGGATTACTGGATTACGGATTACATTCAATGTAATCTGATTACTTAATCTGATTAAAGTAATCCTGGGATTGCCCATCCCTGATAATTGTAACCTGCGCGGAATATATTAGTTGCGGACAAACTTTTCACAGTTGGCCACATTCTTTGCGCACGAACTCCCACTCTGATCAATGTAAAATCGATATACATATGCACTTCACCTTCATTCCATTAAACCTATGCATTAACTTGCTCTTTGTTCTTCTGCATGAATTCTTCATGCAAATGACAGAAACAAAGAGAACAAACAGAATATGAAGCTTTAGACTTTGAAGATTTTTTCTACAGAACTTGAGTTCTGAAGAAAAGTAAGCAAAACCGACTACTACCATTGATAAATGTATTCAAAAATTGTTGTATAAATATGTAATATGCATATATAAATGTATGTATATACATATGTAAATATGTATGTTTGTCCTTATTCATATTGCCCATTTTATTTCAGGATCCAACATTTCATGTGTAAAGTATGCATGGTAGATTGGGACCCTAGCAAAGTTACAAAATAACATATCCAGCCATCCAAATTTATGCAATCCTTCTCTTCTACATATGCAACTATTTTTGTATAAATGAGAGATCATAGATTAGAATACTACCAGAATAAATAAAAAAATCCAAAACAAAATCTGTGCCTTTGTGCAATTTGTTTCCCATACATACTTGCATGGTTGTGTATTTAGGCCTTTATTAGCTCACCCTGCGTAGCATGAGAGCTATTGAATTCCTCTTGTCCGTCCGTCCGTCCGTCCGTCTGTCTGTTAACGATTTTTTTGCATCAATTGATGCGAATTAAACAGCCCCTTGACCATTATTGGATAAGTTGGGCGCACCATTGGTATCGAACAATCCGATTCGCAAATGGTGGGAAAGAATTGGGGGCTGTGATGCATAACGCACCAATAGTGTATTCTGCTCGGCGGATTTTATTAGACAATTTTGACATAGATTTTTCAAAATTATGGTTGATCGTTGGTAGGTAATTCTGCACTAGTGATGCACAATTTTTGGACTTTCCTCGATGCATAAAAATTATTGATCTATTTTGCTTAATTTATCTGCACCATTGGTGCAATATTGCATAAAAATTATTGATCTACTTTATTGGATTTTTCTGCACCATTGGTGCATAATTACATAAAAATTATTTATCTATTCTGTTGAATTTTTCTGCACCTTTCTGGCAAGTTATACCCAAATCATTATTACAGGGTGAGCTACTTCTAACGTTACTACGGTTTATTTTGAAATAAGTTGAGGATTATTAATTATTCTCCTCAAATCCTGAACTTCGAGACATATGTTGCGAAATTCTTAGTGTCATGCCATATTCCAATATTCATGTAGAAATAAAAATTCTTGATGAAACGTTTGTACAACGAAGTATGTCATTATGTGAAAATGATGAAAAATCTTCACGGCGGATATGACCTGCATGATATCTTCAGTAATGTTTGGACAATGGATGGACGGACAAGATGAACCAATCATTGGCTCTTCCGACGCCATAGTTGTGTTCTGTCACCCAAAGCTTTTTTTGTTCCGTCCGTACTTTTGGTGAAAATCGGGTGCCTGATTAGTTTAACACATTTGCATGCATACATTTTATATCCATTTATTCAGTATCTATCAATGCAATGCTTCTACGTAAAAGTAGTACTATTATTTTAGTTTTTTGTGTAAGATTATAAATTCTCTTTAAATAATCGCGGATTACAAATAAATAAAATAAGATATACATCGTGAAAAAAGAGAACATGACATTTGTCGTCATACTTAATAAAATGAAGTAAGTTTTTGTTGTGTCGTGTAAAATTATAAAACTTGCAAAACATAAGGGTTTGCCAGAACAAAAGATTTGGAAGAGTACAAAGAAATTTCTCCAAAGCTTACCTGTAATTAAGCCTACTCTTCGGTGAAACCGTTGCTTGCATATATCTGTCAATCAAACCCAATAAAAGCATAATAAAAATACATTCTTCTAAAATTCTCTTGTTCTTATCATACGTATGTTTCTTCGTAGTCGTGTGACCAATGAGTCAGCTTGACCACACCTAGCTACTCATACCAACTTTCTCCTGTCCGATTAACAATCATTTAGAAGAGTTCCATCCGCTCGTTTAAAATTATATGTAAATTTAAATTTTCTCCACTAAATGGGCACAAAAATGTAACGTCAAAAGTGAAAGTGGGAAAATTTCGTCGGTACGTTTCAAGTCGATTTATGTAGTAGATTTGGAAACTAGTTAATTATCTATTTCATTGAGGTCCATATATTACAAATAAGATTGTTTTAGTTCCGGTCATGGAAATCGAGAGGGACATAGAAATGCAGGCCGGCCCAGCGGACGATGGGTCTGACGTGGTGGGCCTTTCTATCCGGCGTAGGATTTATCGTCTTATGCTTAATAAATTAAAACGAAAGCAGAATAACCTGAAAATTCGGTGGCGAAATTTTATGCAATATGAGCCATCACAGGAGTCGCCGTGCGTACGAGTTTTTCAAAAAATTCCTGGCTTACGGCAAAGCGCACAAGCTGGGATCCATGTCTTGTTAAGGTATTCTGGAAATTTCATTTTTTTTCTTAGGCAATGAAACGTAAATAAGCGTGTTAAAAATATTAGTGTGTTAAATGTTAACACTGCAATTTAAATGGGAATTGAATCACCAATGGAATATGATCAGCAAGTCAGTTATGACGCACCCATATATGAACATAAAGGTATATGTTAAATACAATAAATTCGTCTGTAACTTTATATGCATAAGATTTGAAGAAAACCTCTACTATATATTTTGATTTAAAACATTTTTTACAAACGAAAATCTACAAATTATGTAAGTGATTATTTTTTACATTGCTTGTGATGATACAAAATGCAATCCTCGCAATATTGTCCATCGTTAAGGGGCGACGGTACACATGTTTTGGCAGATTTACCGCAATCCACCTCCTGAATAGCGACTTTTCGACCATTGATGCATCGGAAAATACCTTGTGGGACGCATTTGCCCGTGCTGTTGTACGGTTTAAGTTCATTGCCGCAGAAGTATTGATAGATCCCTTTTGTATCTACTTCAGAGGGGCACATGCATCCAGTCTCAACCTCTCCGTTACGGTGGAGAACATTGTCATAACGTTTGACGAATGCCTTCAAATCTATTTCGGCTGATGATATGTTTCCCGGGATGAGTTGTAAAATGATAGCCAGAACTAAGGGGACAATTACAGAAGTTTTCATGATCTGAAAGCGATATTTGTTGTGCATGAAAATTTAAATATTGAGAGAAAAAATTAAGTACAAACAAATCGAACTCTAACATACCTTCGTGCCTTCAAATCAGTACTTCTTTATGTATAGTAGTTTGCAGGTATTCCTGTTTTCTATTTTCGACTTCCTACGCTTTAAGAGACTGAAGTCGAAGTCTTAACGCTAGCCTTGTGACGCATAATTTATTGACGCCAGTTTTTATTGTTTCAGGGGATTCTGGCTGCTCGTATGTGCATTGTGTATTTTCATTGTGTACTACATCATCAGAGAAGGCATCCGGAGAACAATGGGTCATCCACTGGTCGTTACATTCGAAACGGAAGAAATAAATATTGGGGATGCTAGATTCCCCCAAATTGGTATTTGCCCAAACGGGGGTTTTAAGGCGTCCGCAATGGAATCAGCAATTGAGTAAGAATGAAAGTATGAAGCACGCATTTGCAAATGAACATTTTTTTATTTTTGGAATTGTATGAATGTATTTGTAGTTACTACTTCAAAGTCAAAAAAGGAGTCGAAATCGAAAGTCCAGATGGACTACGCTGGAACAAAAACGACGTTGATGGGGTGCTAAAAGTCATTGATCAAGCTTGCTCGTATAGCACAACTTACGCAGATAAAAACGGAGTTGAAGATGAGGACAATGGCAACACCTGGTTCAATTATTGGGTCGATAAGAACGGAACTGGAGGGCTTCTTGACAACGTAACAGATCCAGCAATCAAGCAATTAATTATCCCTTTCATAAAAAAGGTTTTAATAAATTGCTTCGAGATCACGTTACTAGTAATATTAATTAATCAAACAATTTTAGGGAATGACAAATTGTTGAGAGATTATTAAAGGATGTCTTTTAAATGGGGAAAGCTTCGATTGCGGTATTTTGTTCAAAGAGCACTTCTCAGAATGGGGAAGCACCTGCGTATTCAATGGAATTCCTGAAGAAGCAACAAGACGGTAGTTGTTTAAATCATGATTTTCTGGCGAATGGATCCTAATTTCATTGGACATATGTATATTTCTTGTCAGAAATACGACCATTCAATCTGAGTTGGGAGGACACACCAAGGAGGAAATTTCCAATTGGATGAAAGTAGATTTCGACGAAAGTATTGCTAACATCAAGAAGAAGAAATCTGGGAAGGGGAAACCTGCGATACCCTGGAGGCAAGCAGCGCCAGGAAAATCATCTGGGCTGAAGTTCGTCATAAAAGAAGAGTTAAAAGATAAAGCCTGCGTTCATACTGATGGGACTGGATTTACGGTGCTTAAACTGGAAATTATTTCAATTTAATTCAAGTAGCAAAAGACAAATTATGTTGTAATATAGCTGGCGATAAATCACCCTAGAGATGAGTCTCAAATCCAAAAATTTGGAACGTCTTTGCCATATGGGAAAGACATTTATATTTCGCTGTACCCTGAAGTTCTTCTTGCTGAGACGGATGCCAAAGAAATTGATATCGTAAGTGAATTTAAAATCAGGCAAAATAACAGATAATCAAACTCGTGTAATTTAAAAAGGGGCGACGTGGCTGTTACTTCAGTGATGATGAGGGTCCAGCACGATTAACTTTCTACAAGAAATATTCCAGACAAAATTGTTTGGAGGAGTGTTTCGCCAAAGCAGTTTATGAACAATGCAAATGTGGCCGTGTGACAGCTCCTGGTAATATTTTTATTATAGATTTTTAAGAAATTGAATATACTTGTAAAGCTGTTTGAATACTTACTTGAATTTTACAACTAGGCTTACCAGGACGAATCTTATGTTCTCCCAACCAAATGGATTGTGTCCGAGACAAGGAAAGTAAGTTTTCGACCAAGTCTTTAATATGAAGATATTAATTAGTAAAATCGTTTGCATTTTTAGACGCAATGTACAATGAAGGTCTGAATGAAGTATGCCCACTTTGCCGTCCAAATTGTCAAGACACAAAATATCGAACATCGGTGACATGAAGTCCAATGACAGAGGCTCATATGAGAACATACAAGAAATTGTTCGAGGACTCGGGGTAAGCAGCGGATATAAAAATGGGGGAATTTGGTGATATTATCTCTCCAATGGTTCTTAAAATTATATGTTCGCTTAGCGACATGCAAAATGTTACCATATCAGTTGTCAACGTCTACTTCGTAGTGGACTCTGTACATCCGACACGAAGGAGTGCCAGATACACTAATTTCGCTACGCTAGCACAAAAGTAAAATTCGAAACGCCATTTTTGCTTGAAGATTAGATTGCTAACTTGCACAATTACAAAGCTGGTATCTATATACATACTTATTTCGCAAAACTATTTTCTCAAAATTATGCTGCGATGCCAACATGCAAACTCGTAATGAATAGCCCCATTAATGTATACAAATCCACGTATGTTTTGTCTTTGAATATGTCTACCAGGCACTATTTTATAAATTAAGCGCAAATTTATTTCATGACAACATAATTTAAGCCCAGAGCTAATGCCAGATCCAAAAGCCAGTTCAAACATCTATGTTAATTAACCACTTATTCTACTTTGACTTCCTAAACATTTTTCAGCAGAATGAAGGATATCTAGATCCGTCCTAAAATACGTTGCTGCGGAACAATGGAAACATCGTTTGCATAAACTCGGAGTTATGGCGGAGCAGAAGAGGATATTTCAATTCTAATTTTTAAGGAGTTACGACGGAGCAAAAGATTTATCCGTCGTCTCATAATTCGGCATAGGAAGAAAGGAAATATCATTTTTTCCAGTCATCGACTTTCTTGTGTAGTGAAGGTTATTTCCCCTCGTTAAAAAAATATTTTTTCCTCGAAAAGGAGTGCGTATTTCCGAAGTAGGCTGAAGAAAAGTTACCTGCAATAAGTTAGCAGGGTTTATTAATTAAGAGAATGTAACCACCAGCGAAAATCGTTTCAAAGGGTCGTCTAACTTATTTACATAAAACGTTCGTAATTAAATTTGTAAACCACACTTAAGATTTTCTCATCCTATTTAACTCAATAGTTGCGGAAAGTTCACTTGGTACTCGCCGCGTGTCCTGGTAAACATAATTTAGACATTCTGACACCCAATTTAGACTAAAACGGTATTCATACATATATTGCATACATACGTGTGTGATGCGTATACTCCTGCAAAAACTGGATTCGGGCAGTGTGCCAAACACGTCTGAAAATTGATCGGATCCAACTCACGACTCGAACATTGACATCCGATGTATGCTTTTTGAAAAGTAGCGGGAAAGAAAAATAGACTCAAAATATGACTGCAATCTAAAACCAAGTCTGTTACGATGTTGCAACCAGGCTGCTGACGTCCGCCATTTACTATTTAAAATGAAATTTGTATACATGAATGCTGAATCCTGACCGCTAATTCATTTTTTAACCTACGCATAAAATCCACATGTCCATCCAACGTGGTATCACCTTCCAAGCCGGCATTTGAGTGATAAATGTCCACAAAGTTGGCGTCACTTTTGTCAATTTTCAGCTCTGAATGTGTATTAAATAAAGGGCCGGCGGGATCCAATCCTGAATGGGAAAATATAATGAGAAATTACTTATTTGTGAAGATAGATATTTACAGATGGACAAATTTCTCGTGCACAAAAAGTAAACGTGGTGTGTATTTCATAAAAGCATTCGTAATTGAACTCACCCGTAATTCGTGGTAACTTTCTGCCCCCCATAATTTCTTGAATTTCAGTTCCTACCCGACCCGCAAGATGTGCTCCAAGTGAACCTCCGATCAGGTGGATCCGATCCAAATTTAAGTAATTATTGTAGATAAGCCACGCAATAAAGTTGGATATCCGCTTTGCCGCCTTGCTAACGTTCTTGATCGCTAGCACGTACTCGATAGGGAAGTCGAGGGGGAATACGAACCTTCCTGCGAGCCAACTCCAGTCGATGATAATTAAGTTGTCAACAACTGATGACTCAGTAATATCAACTCAGTTTTTCTTTTCCATCCCGCGCTGGTATCCTTTCCATACTATTAGTATGGTAGGGATACGAAAGCGGGAATCAAATTTTTGGTAAAGTAATTCTGAGTCAGTAGTAATGGGATTAATCAACTCTAGAAATTTTAATTAAATTGGGAATTATGCAGCTTGAAAATTTTAGGTATATTTTATTACTCTCTGAAAAGATTAAGTCCTTCCCAGCAAGATATCCATGAATGAGAAAGATCGTTAATCCTCCAGGCTTTAAAAAACTGCTGCGTAGGGATTCTTGATTTTCGTATTTGATTTCTTGCTTAAAACTGCAAATTTTTTGGTTGTAAATTTCAATAAAATATGTTACATCGAACTTCAAATTTTGGACTATTAGTTTATGAAATTAATACGGAGTCGCTAATATAGGTTAAAAAAGTTGTCATCGTATGTGTACGTACAGTATTTAAAAATGTAAAATATGTATCCACATGAATTTGATTGCTCACCTTGTACTCTTCACTAAATAGAATTTAATGTCGTCTGGATTGGATCCGATTTCAAAAGGAAGAAGTAAATTTGTACAGGGAGGACAATTTGTGATTAAACTGATAACTATGAACACGTAGGGTTTCATGATCGCGAAGATTTGATGGACATGATTGAACTGTGGACATTAAATTTGATGGAAAACATGTGTATGCATGTGTGTATTTAGCCTGATGATTCCTGCGTTTAAACAGGTTTTTAAAATTGTAGTATTTAGAAGAAATAGTGGATGGAGGATTAATTTGCAGATTTGTATGCAAGAATACCGTAAGTCAGTGTTTTAACACATTTGAATATTAGTATCCTGTTAGACCGGTATGTTTTTTGTATAAATATTCGCAAGTGAAAGTTGTCAGAGTGAATTAATTGGAGAAACATATCGCGTATGTATATTGCCAATGCAATGAAAAGTTTCATGGTATACATATGTATGTATGTACGCGTACGCAAATATGTACATACAAGATTTCTTTCAGCTTATACATAAGTACATAGTAAAAATGTAAAGAGGTTCAAACGGGTATCATGAATGACATTTTTCTTACCGAGGCAAATATATAACAACGAAAAAATTTACTAACAGGGGAACCTCAACTACTGTCCGATCTCGATGTCCTTCCGAATAGCCTTAATCGACAGATAATTTAGTGAAACTTAAACTTCGTCATAGAACTTGCGGTGCAAAATCGCGTTTTTGCGAAATATTTGGCGAGAGCTGCATAAAAACTTTTCATTCGCCAAAAGATTTTAACATAGCCACCAGCCTTTGGAATAATGAAATGAACTTTATAGAATATTGATAAATTATATATACATACACTTGTCCGCGGAATTTCAGCCCGATCACGAATATGCGAAAAAAGTGATGCAAACATTTTCAATTTTTTGCAAATTGCGAAAATCGTATGCAGTAAATAATCGTGTTACACATAATTTCAATGTATGCAAATGTGTATATGTAAAACTATATGTAAAACTGTGAAGAAGGAACGTGTACGTGGAATAATAATCAAACGTGTATTTTGATTTTTACGGTTTTATTTGCGACTGACAATACAAATATTTTTTCGCCTTTGCGAATCGAGAATTCTTAAAATTCTTAGAATTCTTAGTTTAGTTTTTAGTGCGTCTAATAATGTGCTTGATATACGTACCTAAGAAAAACAGTGTACACTCACTATTTTAATATAAAACTGCACCACTTCACTTTTCACTGGTGCCCAATTTAAAAATATGACAGTTTCGGCAAAAATTCAATTCATAAAAATATATTGTGTATACCCAAACTCCAAGAAAATAATTCTCCCCGTCTACAATATCACCTTCTGATAAATAAGCAACCAAGTATAGAAAAACGTTGCCGAAGTGGCCCCCGTGTTTCCACAGCTCATAGCATTTGCGAAATTAGCCTCCTCCTCGTCCTTCTCTACCTTCATCTTCCACCTCCTTAGGGCCACGGCAACCGGAAAGAAACACACGACAAAGACGCCACTCACCAGCAATGGATTGTCAATCCAAGCATAAAAGCAAGCGAAATGCATTAAGCCCGCGAGACCAAGGACACCGTAGGCGAACTGAAGGGAAGCCTTCACCCCCAGCATCATGCTCAGGGTGACGTCACCATTGCACGCATCCTCCGCGTGCTGATACACCTGCGTCAACGGCCAGTTTCCCAACAGTGCGGTGGTTGTTATCAAAGCGACCGCGTGGGCCTGAGGATTCCACGTGTCGACAGAACTGTTACAAGCATTGTAAATCCCGATTGTGGTGACGTATCCCTATTGACAAAAATTTGAAAGCATGTCACAAAGAAGGACCCTGTGTGTTTTTTATTATTTAGTTTTGTGTTTCTCCTGAATATGGCGAGACTAAAGATACATGGTGGCATAAAAAACCTGGATCCCAGAACACCAACATCTATAAAAACCTATATTAACCTCTTGGCTACCAATTCCACACCTTGTGTAACGATTTTTTATCACTTAACTAAATACAATAAACTATTTTTCGAAATGTTACTTTTGCTACACATATTTGTGTAGCAAAATTATTTCTCTTAGCTCCCGATGTATTTTTTGGAAATTTTACTCTATCCGGCATTTTACAACTTGATAGATTTCCATTGACTACCAGAATTGTTAAAATCCCCGAGATAGATAATTATACACATTTGTGTAACTGGTACGCAGTGGAAAATGATATCGTTTCTAATTGGTAGCTAATGAAAATAATTCTATTACACAAATACGTGTAATTGGTAGACAAAGTAATATTTCGAAAAATGGATTTGTAGTCAAGTGACAAAAAAATCGTTACACAAATGTGTGTAATTGGTACGCAACGGAATATTTCTGAAATTTAACTGACAGCAAAGAGGTTTAGACTGATACTAGACCACCAAAAAATACCGAAGCAAATACACCCCACAAGAAGTACTTATTTTTTAAAGTGCATAAACATTGAATGTGTTATATACCTCAACAAAATTCCAGATGAGAAAGGATGCATATGGACGAGCTTTAAGGCGAACCGAGGGGTGGCTGTAGAGGCGTTGCGTGACGGCAAATATCACGACGGTGTATTGAAATCCACCTCCGTAGGAGTGAGCTAAGACGAAACCGATGGCGTCCAGGATATGGCTCCCGTACCAGAGGGCGTCCGTTATTGGGGCGGGTTTCTCCATCATCATCACGGGACCTTCGTCCTAACAGGAAATTGTATTTTAACAACTATTGAACTTTTACAAATTATGTTACACTTTTGAAAACTAAAAGCACTATGAATCCTGTGCTAAGTAAGCTATACTAAAGCCGGACTAAATTTTACCCTTTGTCAAGCTTCTAACAATTTAATAATATTGTAGAACATTCCTTGGAAATTTTGAAAATTTCCGAGAAATTTGGAGCATTTTTAGGCAATTTTGAAAATTATTTTGAATTTGGTTATTACTTATTTAAATAATGTATTTACATACATATTTTCTGAACATTATTTTTTCAAAAGTTTACATAATCCCAGTAACATGCCAATTTACCTTGTCGAAGTAGTTGTTGTACAAACTGGTAGATGGGTACAGACAGAAAAATGTGATTACGAATGTCGCCACTGTTTTAATCGTGAACGGGTTATCGACGGGGCTTAAGGCGAATAAAAATATGTAAACCGTCCAGAAGAAGGCACCCGGCCGACAGTGGGTTATAAAGTTTTTAATATCCATAGTTGCTGTGGTTACCAGGTAACCACCGAAGTCTTAACGGTGACGTGACCTATGGATTTGGTGGATATTCTACTCTATTCTGAAAAAAGGTGAAGATGAAGTGTACTTTGGAACCGAGAATGCTTGGCACAAAAGGCTGCGTGGAGACGACGATTATAAATTTCGTCCTTCCTTACACTCTATTTACATTATGAATCACTGCAGATTGAGCACAGATCAGTGCTCAAAGTAATAAGGAACTTGATTTTGTAGATGTGATCATATTATTTACAAACAGAAATTACAACGAGTTGGAAAATGCTGAGGAGTGGTAAACGTTGGGTTTTGTTTTACATATGTATAACCGTGGCAGGATTGTAAAGTAGCATAAAACACTAATTAGTGTAAACAACTTTATACAATTTTTAGTGACTTAGATATGTATTACTTGGTGTTCTATTTCCATCTTGATTTGAATCAATGTTCTCCATGTTTGGAAGAGCAACAAATTCGTAAAACTCGTGATGAGTACATAAGTTAATGAACAATCCGGTTATTTATATGCTTTTATACTCATACCTCGACTAACGATAAGTATATAATGTTGTAGATAAAATTATCACTTCAGGATATATTTTTTTAATTTGATAGCAATTTACGTTCATGTTTATCTCTTTTGAATGAAGGCCAACAGGGTTTACGAGTGCTTATTGTACGAACTAGATTATTTGCATAAATTACGTCAATTCCTTGCCTTTCTTGATGCCCCTTGTTGTCGTGTAGTTCGATTCGTAAGATTTTTGTCACGCTGCTGTTATGCTGTAAATTCACAAAGGACCATTTGACCACTTGGGATCATACTTCAATTCCAGGGTTACGGAGATGACTGACAATACGATGATGTAAAGTGTCACCCTAAGATTTGGTTGAAATTTAGGAATTATGCAGTCCAAGTTTCTTGAGGCAGTTTGTACGATGATTGGTATTGGTCAAAATATTTGAAGTCAAACTTGAAAAATTTAGAATTTATTTTTTGTAACAAAATACAAATTTACCCAAAATATTCAATATAATATCAATTAACCACCTATTCTACTCTGTTTTACTTAAATACTTTTGCAAACGTAGATAACATAACACAATATAGAGCTTTATTTTTAAGTGTAGAACGATACCAATTATTTAACAGATATAAATATGTAATTAGCAGAAGTGAAAAGTGTCTTCTTTACAGAACTTCCCTACACAAATTTCGATTTATTTCCCCTGGAATTTCTCAATATCCGAGTGGTGGATGTTGTAATCGCCAGATTCCATCCCTCCAACGATACAGTGGAATGTCAGGAGTAGGTCTGCTTGGCACTGGGGAAGGGTTGTCAAGGTGACACACATCGTTTTAATTACACAAATATAAATCCCCGCCATCACTCCCAACGTAAACAATAGGGGAATGAGCGGGATGATAAAAGCCCCCGCCGCCAAGGTCCAAGTAAGCCTGGATTTCCGCAAATTGCTTAAATTCGCCAGGGCAAAACATCCCGCATAAATTAGCGAGAACCCCGCCAGTAGAACCCAGAACTCGGCGTCACTCCCGAACTTTAGTAAAACTTGATCAGTTTCTTGATCCGCCGTTAAGTTGAAGATACTGACAGCTCTGTAATAAGTTTTTTCCCGATCTGAATAAGTTCGAACCGCCCACGCCACGAATGTCGTCATCAAAAATGCGCCCGCACAAAATAGCGTCACGACAATTTAACACGCTTCTTCGACACGTTCAGCGCTTAGGAGAAAATTTCTCTGGGGACAAATCAAACCCGGGAGCGGGACTAGGAACCCGACAACCCAAAAAATTATGCAGCCTACCATAACAATGCATAGCCCTTTGTCTTGCTCGAATCCAAATCGGGCCAAAATGAGGGCACAGATTCCGATCAGGGTCACACTTGCAGAGATCCAAATTAAGAAGGCAATCACTTTGAAGACAGTTGACGCCGGGGGAGTAGTTAAAAATATGACGAGTCGGGTCCAAACAGGGACAAGAATGCTGTGTAAGGTGATCGCTAAGACGCGAAAAAGTCCAGTGTAGCAAAATATTAGGTCGAACAAGAGGAGGGCCATGGGGTAGAAGTAGATCACGTCGCAAGGGATTAAACACCTGCTGGGGGCGTCATTCAGTTGCTCCAACAGGGAAGAGTTATTGCCTGAAATAGTGTAAAAAAATTAAAATATTTAATGCTAAAAATTACGAATTTCTGGTCTGAATCGCAAAATTTTTACGAGATTCTTATTTTTAATGTAAATTCTCTCTTACCAATTATTGCCTCATTGTGCACAATTTTGCAAAATTCTGTCCCTATCGATAATCCTGCTCTGGACGAGATTGACGAAGGCGAATGAAACCAGGACAATAAGCGTCATGACCCAGCAGGTCACCCATGAGCAGTAATGTCCACATTTGGTCCGCCATGTTGCAGATGATTTTGGGGTTAACGTGACATCGACGGGGTCACACTTGTCCGTGACCACAGTACGGAGGATGATCAGGGTCAAAATTCCAGTCGCTGTGAGGCATCCTTCCGTCACGGAGAAACAATTCCACGAGAGGGAAAGTACGAGGAGAAAGTAGACCGTGTAGAGGAAGAAACGTGTCCTCCATTCGAAGAGGAAGGCGTTGAAGGGCTCATCTGCAGGGGTGGGTGAGCAAGGGTCGGATTTTTGAGGGGGAGACTCCTCCGGGGGGACAGGATTTAGTGGGATACCGGCCTCGATATCTTCATCGTTTGGTTCTGCAGACCGTTTTTGGGCTGGTGTCCCCATTATTTTTTTGCAAAAGCTGCGATAATCCCAGCTCTAAATTTTATTTATCAAAGTAGAATTAGTGAGCAGAGAAATATTTTTTATGAATTTTTATACATATAAATGTACAGGGTCCATCAACTGCATGCATCCTCGTATGTAGATGAACTTATGTAATTGAATAAGAAATTCTCCAAGGATGCAAGAGTTGGTGGACCCTGCATGCGTAGAAAAATATATGCAAATTTTGATTCAATTCCACAAATATATATTAGAGAATCAAAATTCCTACATCTGCACATTGATTTGAAAAGCTTTACTGGTATATGAATTTTATTTTTTACCTACCTGTTAATATGTTCGAGTCAAATTCGTTGGGAATCTTCCGCAAAAAAATACCACCCACTTTATTCGCGTTGCCCATAAAATAATGGAATTTAATGTGTAAAATACTTTTAAACTGCAATATTCCACGACGTTTTATTATTATTATTTTTAATTGGTTCGTGATGAAAAGTTAGTGGTTGAGGGAGGATATGCACACATCAGCTGCATGATATGAAATTCCATGTATCTTCATTTGTAATACGCAACATATGAATTATACTGTAAGTCAGTAGCTTATTTTATAATAGTAAATATCATTGCTGTTACATAGAACGCTGTGAAGGCATGGTGACAAGACAACACAAAAAACTGGATTTATAAGACTTGGGATGCTACTCAACCCGTTGTTTCCAGTGTGAACACGGGAAGGATACAATTTTTGAAACACCATTTGGAGTGAATTTAACTCTAAATAATCTTACGTTAATAAGACTCCAAGTCATGGGAAATATTTAGACATCTAACTCCTGAGAATTGTCTCATATGTACATAAACATGTACATATTTACGTATTTATGTAGATACACACATATGTATTTACACTTACACTACACGAATTAAATCACAAGAACATATTTATATGAATATTTGCTGCACTTAATTTATTGAATTTGTACGTCCATTTCGGTGAGACACTGAAAAATGCATTAACCTCTTAACGACGAAGTACACACATTTGTGTAGTTATTTTATTTTCCGTTCACGGCGAAGTACACACATTTGTGTAGTATTTTATTTTTCCGTTGACGACGAAATACACAAATGTGTGTACTGCAGAAATTTCCTTGACACCAAAATTTCTTTAAAAAAAGAATATTTCTTCGGTATTTTGTGGAAAACTCGATGGTGAAAAGTGGATTTTTTTCGATATTTTTCACCCAAAATTTTGGAATTTTCCCTATACCGACCAATGTTAAAAAATGTTTTTTTCGTATTTTTCGTCAAAAACTCGAATATTGCAAACTGGTGGAAAATTTTAATTGGTTGCTATCAGGTATAATTATGAAATCAAAATCGTACCGAAGGGAAGTTTTATTTAAAAATCAGTAGTACGAAAGAGGTTAATTCGTCAAATTGTGAATACATTATGAAACAGTAAATTCTCAGATCTAATTATAGGTTTTATGCATTTAAATTAAAACAGTGTAATTTGTGCATTCAAAAATGATATCCGACTTATCAAAAGTTATTTTTATTTAATTCACGAATGTCTAAACATACATTTCTCAATCTAACTCAAACCATATAAATATTTCTGGCCACAAAGGTAACCTCCAAAAGTTTCGCTGCACATTACATTGCGATACCAAAACTCAAACGTTCATAATAATCAAAATTCAAAATCAAAAATATTTTATTGCCGAAACATAATTTGGTTTTTAAATAATTGAAATTCAATTCCACCCCAACTTAAAGCTGACCTCCACCTTGACCTTGAAACTTGTCCACATTCTCCCAATTTACGTCATACCCTGCCGTGTACAGTCTACCCACACTGTTCAAAAGGGCGAGCCGATCGTCCTCCTTTCTCGTCATGGAGGTCACGAAGGTGTACTTATTTTCGGCATGGGGGTCATTATTTTGCAGGATGTCCTTCACCATCTGGATGATTATTGGGTGCGGGCCGACCTCGACGAAGTGGGTCACGCCCTCGGCCAGGGCCGTCTCCACGGCGCCAATAGACATGACTGGCCCGGTCAGATGATCCAAAAAGTAGTTTGGGTCCAAAGTTTCCCACAGTTTCCCGTCCACTGTGGAGATGAATTTCGCTGTGCCGGGAACATAACGGATTGAGGAGGTTGTTTTAAGAAATTCCGGGAGGATGGGTTTTGTAAGGGAAGAGTGGTAAGGATGGTACTCCTTTATCAAGGTTTTTATCCAGTGTTTCTTGCAAGTCGCTGAAAATCAAATTTTAAAAAGTGTAGATTTTGAAATTATAAAATTGCAGAAATCGTACAGTTAGGAATTTTTAAGATGGATTACGAATTCTAAACGTTATCGCATTAAGAATGCCATAATTTTATTTATGCTGCATAAATATGTAGAATTTTTTAAATACCGAAAATTGTGCACGTTTTGATGTTTCATATTTTTTTCAAAAAGTTCTACCAATATACCTGCAAATTGGTTGACATATTTCAAATGTCCGACTACGCAAGTTTGAACAGGGGAATTAATAGCCGACACGTCCAACCACATTTCCTCCATTCCCACCGCGGTCTTAGCTTCCGCCAAAATTTCCGCGTATTTGGTCATCCCCATTTGCGACACGCAAAACGCTTCCTCCTTTATGTTCTCCGTCATCAAAATTATCCTCGTCATGATCAACTTAAAGGCCTCCTCGATCGTGATCATTCCTACAAAATATATATTTTTAAATTAAATATTCACTGTACAGTTCAGCCAATAGGAGCAATCAGAAAAAATCTGAAAGGTTTCATGGCAGGTTATTTTATATTATTTTCCAACGACCAAATAACTTCTCAGAAAATTCTTCAAGGCATTGAGAACATTAATGTTAGCTGAATATACGAAAGAGTAGGTCAATCGCATAATACCTGCAAAAACGGCCGCCCCATATTCCCCAAAACTCAACCCTAGCACATAATCCGGCTTTATTCCCCACTCCTCCCACTGCTTGAACAACGCATATTCCAATGCTAACAAATACGGGAGGAACTTTATCGGCGATTCCATCCACTCCGGAACCACGCCAGGAACGACGTCCCACTCCAAAAACGACTTCACATCGATGTCGTACTCTTTCAAGACGTGGACCGCACAAAAGTCGAAATGCTTCCGAAAAACGGGACTCTCAGCGTACAGCTGCTTTCCCATGGCGGGATAATGCGTCCCCTGACACGTGATGAGGAAACATAGCTTCGGCTTGCTGGCGGGAATTGGTTGCAAGGAATCAGCTATTTGAACGATTTCTTCAATGGTGGCGAATAAATCCGTCTTATTCCGATAGAGGGCAGCTGTTCTAAATTTCCCGGGGTGAGGGACAGATTCAAAATTTGGCGCGTTATCTAAGTACTTGATCAGTTCTGGCTTGTCAGAGGCGGACACGTGAAACAATTTGACGTTGTCCTTTTCCAAGGATTCTTTAACTCTTGACCATCCCGCCGTGTCCGGATCAACGAACGGTTTCGACATAAAGTCCATCATTCCATATGCTATTCCTGTAAAGTTAGTGAAGTTTTGAATTAAGAAGTAATTTAATTTAATTAGTGATTAATTTAATTTATGTCGTGATTAATTTACCTTCCATTTTGTCCATGTTTCCTGACTTGTAAATTGAACTTTAAATGCAAATTAACTTAACTTGATCGCATCCTGTGACTCCAATAAACTTAATTTGGACTTTAAATACGACTCCAAGCCACGACTCGTGATCCTTTTATCAATCATTTTCCTCGTTCATTTCTTTGTCACGAGTTTTATTAATGTAAGACCGTAAAACCTTATCTGTCCCAAGCATGGGGAACAATTAACCAACGTCAAACAAAATTAGAGATGTATTTATACCCATGTCCAGGGCAGTTAGTGGATTTACGATTAGCAATTATGAAGTGAGACCTTCAACTTTACTTTAGGTAGATTTGGTTGCGACAACCAAATCTACATTATCTACTTGCCCGAGACAGGCAATCTAATAATTTACATTATCATTAGTTGTTAAGTTCGGTTGATCTCTGAGATTGAGATCAAACCTACACATTAGTTATTAGTTAGTTTAGTTAGTTAGTTAGTTAGCTATTATTTACATATTAAGCGAGCCGGTCCCCTATAAAAGGACGAGCTCCAGCCCAACTTGGGATCATTCGGTTTGCAACCGTGACCGTTGCAACAACAACAACCTCCATGCAACCGAGACGGTTGCATACCTAATATATGTATGATCACTAACACTCCCATTTCCTTGAGCATGAGATTTGCTCCCGTGACGCCTGGGACGGGCAGATTGGTTTCCTTATATTTCGGAAACTAACATTATGATTATTTCGGATAGTTTGTAAGCAATATGAATGATGCTTAATTATAAATAAAACTTTATATTTTCATTATTTAACAAAACTCCCACTGGTTATCCTTCATTTCTTTTTCGTAAGGTTGTTTCCAAACAAAACCCCTTACAAAATGGCGCCCAACGTGGATTTGCTACTCGATAGTTTCTATTCTTAGGAATTTTCGAAAAGCAGGTTCAATTCCCTTTTCAAAAACCCCGATAATCCAGTGTGGTAGATTTTGAGTAGAATCTCTAAAATTAATAGTTATAATTTTTCGGAGTAGAATTTAACGGTACATGCAATTGAGTAATTTTCTGAGAATTTTCCAATCATGTCGAACGACGATGTGCGATTACTGCGTTCAAATTCAGTCGCAGAAACAGAAACAGAAATTAATATTTCTGCTTTACAAAAATCTGTAGGAAAACTGGCTAAAACAGTAGGTACGATAACCACACAACAAGAAACTATGAATACAGCTTTGGCTGATATGCAGAAAATGCTTGAAAGATTAGTTGGGTCAAATTATTCAAAAACGACAGATTCAACGTCTTCAAAAGTAGAAACAGTAGAAGTAGAAACAGATCTAGTGAAACCATTACACCAAAGTCACATTTTTTTGATAACGCTACTTTGCCTTTTCCGCAGTATATTTCTGGTAGTATGACTGTGTTACATTATTGCCAAGAATTGAAAGAATATTTTGCACTTCGCAAAATTCCAGAAAGTCAATGGCTTTTGCTAGTTGGTGAAGGATTTCCAGTTGAATCAGATACTGCGAGATGGTGGAGAGAAAGTAAATCTGATTGCATAGATTTTCCGGATTTTATTAAAATGTTGGATGCATATGAGGGGAATGAAGAGTCTAACGATAAACTCATGCATGCCTTATTTCAAAAACGTCAAAAACCAGACGAACCATTCGAAACTTTTGCATGGGATGTTTGCACGTTGTATCGTAAAATCAATAAGAGTGTTGATTTAGCGGACATAATAAGTAGAATCTTAAATTCATGTTTATCTGAATTGTCTGTATTTTTAAGACATTGGAATTACCGTGACATTTCTGAGCTAAATCGGAGAGCTCGTGAAGTTATTTACGATATGAACAAGGTGAGACGCTTGAAAAGAGAACCACTGCTGAGGGCAAGACAATCTGACCCCATTCTAAAATATGATAACACACAGTACAAACCAAGAACTTGGAACAATTCTTACAAACACAATTCTCCACAAGCCACTCAAAATAACACAAACCCACCTACTCAAACTGCTAATGTTTCTCACAATTCCAATTTACAAAATGATTTTCATTCCAATCAGAACAGTCAAAAACAAGTTCACAAATCAAACAATTCAAACTACACTACACAGAACAGTAATTCGGACAAAACTGACAAAAATACATCTCAAAAGTACACACAAAAGTTCAAGAAACAGTGTCAATTTTGCGCACGTTTTGGTCACGTTGAGGAAGAGTGCTTCCAAAAAGCTCGAGAACTGAGCTTAACACACATGCAGAGTGATAAATCTGCGCCATCGACCTCAACGGCGACCCACGCTTCGAACAAAAATAACACAAAAAACTAAACCGGGTGCAAAGCGAAGAGGGCGCTTTGCTATCCGCTGAATTATTTTCAAAAACGACCCCTCAATTACTATTAAAAATTTCTGATCGCGAAATTAAAGCTTTGTTTGATATCGGTGCTTCTCACTGTTACATTAATACCAAATTGGCAAATTCGTTAAATGTTTCTATTACCCACGAAAATTTACGTCCCGTTTTAATGGGCGACTCAAACAAATTAATGCCGAAAGGTGCATGCAATATTAAGTTTAATCTTGGTGGAAAAGAATTTATGCACGATTTCATTATTCTTGATTCGTTACCTTTTCATGTGGTCATTGGGAGTGATTTTATTAGAAAAGCTAAAATTATTCCTGATTTAGACGCCGGCTTGTGGTGGTTCAAAAACGAACCTGCTAATCTGCTTACGTTTGCTAATCACGATTTATTATGTGCTTTACAAGGCTTGTCATCTTCTCAAGATAAAGAGTTGCATGAATTATTGTCCAAATTTCCCGATGTGCTTACGGATACAATTGGCGTATGTAAAACTGACGTATGTCGACTTATCACGACGGGCAATCCTATTGCTCAGCGTGCTTATCCTGTGTCAAAGCACAAAAGTGCTATTATTGAACAGCATGTAAACAAAATGCTCGAATTGGGTATTATTCGGCCTTCAACCTCAGAATGCGCTTCTCCCGTTAATTTAGTACCAGAGCGTGGTGACTACAGATTTACTCTGGACTACAGAAAATTTAACACAACTCTGAAAAATGATCCTTTTTGCATGCCACGTATTGATACCTTGTTACACCGTTTGGGGGATGCATGCTTTATTTCGAAAATTTATTTAAAATAGGGTTATTGGCAAATTAAGATGCATGAAGATAGCATAGAAAAAACTGCCTTTATTTGTGATCTTGGAAAATATGAATTTCTATCTATGCCCTTTGGACTTAAGGTAGCAGGTTCAGTTTTTCAAAGGTCAGTAAATAAAACGATTGGTCCTGCTCGTGGTAGATTTGCTGAAGCTTATCTGGACGACATCACTATTTATTCGAAAAATTGGCTAGAACATTTAGCTCATATTGAATTTATTATGCAAAGATTGAGAGAAGCTGGTTTCACTGCAAATGTTGAAAAATGTGAATTTGGGAAGACAACATTAAAATATTTGGGATTTTTAATAACTCCAAATGGAGTTGAAACTGATCCCGCAAAGTTAGAAGCAGTTCGCAATTATCCAAAGCCACGTAACGCAAATGACGTTAAAAGATTTTTGGGTCTTTGTGGATGGTATCGTCATTTCATTGACAAGTTGTCTGATAAATCACATTCTTTAACTCGATTATTACGCAAAAATGTGAAATTTATTTGGGGAGAAACAGAGCAATCAGCCTTCGAAAATCTTAAAAATTTAGTATGTGAAGCAGTCACGCTTGCTTTTCCGGATTTCTCAAAACGTTTTATTTTGAGAGTAGATGTCTCAGAATTCGGTCTTGGTGCATGCCTCGGTCAGAAAAATATTGATGGCATTGAAAGGCCAATTAGTTTTATCAGTCGTTCATTATCTGATACAGAGAAGAAGTATGACGCATGTGAAAGAGAATGCTTGGGTATTGTATGGGCATTAAAGAAATTTGAGCAATATCTTGACGGAGTGGAATTCGATCTCGAAACTGACAACAGAGCACCTGTGTGGCTCAACAGCATGAAAGATGTCAATTCCAAGTTTGTAAAATGGGCTTTAAAAATCCAAGATTTTCAAGCATGTATTAAACATTGTCCTGGTCGGCTCAATGTTGTAGCAGATGCTTTATCTCGAGCTCCGCTACCTATTGTAGAGGCTAGCTTAATCAGTATGCGGTTTGGTCTTTTATATTTTCTTTCTGCTGAAACTATATTTGTTGAATGAGAAATATTTTCTTTTAGATCAACTTCTATTATTATAACTCTATTTTTTGATTGAATAAGTTTGAGATTCACAGGGCTCGTAATATTTATTTCTTCTATGGTACTTTTTTATAGAATCATATATATAGAGGGGACAAGTTTTTAACTCGGTTTATTTTTTTAGTGTATTTCTTTGTCTTGAGTATAGTCTTTATAATTTTAAGCCCTAATATAATTAGAATCTTATTGGGGTGGGACGGACTCGGTCTTGTGTCGTATTGTTTAGTAATTTATTACCAAAATGTAAAAAGAGCAAATGCGGGTATATTACAGTTCTCTCTAACCGTGTGGGTGATGTAGCTATTCTTTTATGCATTTCATGGCTACTGAATTTTGGGTAGATGGAATTTTTTTTATTCGCAGTTTGTCTATTCGTTACGAAGTAGTTTCTTTTATATTATCCTAGTAATTTTATAGCAGCTATAACAAAAAGAGCTCAAATACCCTTTTCTGCCTGGTTACCTGCGGCTATAGCAGCCCCCACCCCAGTTTCGGCTCTTGTGCATTCTCTACTTTAGTCACAGCTGGGGTGTATCATTAATTCGGTTTAATTACACTCTAGGTATCAATAATTTTTTATTATTTTATTGTGATGTTGACTATTATTTATCAGGTTTAGGGGCTAATTTTGAGATAGATTTAAAA